GCATTTCCTTTTTCATTTCTTTCTAGTCCTGGGGCTTAAATTTGGGTCCTAGGTGCTGTCCCTAAGCTTTTTTTTTTTTAATGTTCAAAGCTAGCTCTCTACCATTTGAACCATAGTTCCATTTCTGGCTTTGGGGTGGTTAATTGGAGACAATGAGTCTCCTGGAATATCCAGCCCCAGCTGGGTTCAAATGGAGCTCCTCAGATCTCAGCCTCTTGAGTAGCTAGGATTATAGGGGTGAGCCACCGGAGTCTCGCTGGCTACAGAGCATTTCTGTAGCAGTACTGGGTGTTGGGTGATGTTGGGGCATGGATTAAAGGAGTTAAAAATGGGCCTGATTGCAGTCATGCTGAGCATTCAAGGTCATCATGACTTTCCTGCGTCTCGTGTCTGTTTCCCCCTGGTAACACACTCACGGTCTGAATCAACATCATCTCTTTTCCCAGGAGCTCACCAGACTTGCTTGCTGAACACACTGAGAAGCTCTGCCCAGATGGGAAGGTGCTTGCTTGACTGATGTCTTGTGGGGTCAGATGATGCCATATAACTTGCTCTTGCGACCACCTGGCTGCCAGGTGGGCAGTGCTAGCTTTCCTCCTTGCTCTAGAGGGGGACGGCCAGCTCAGGCATTGGGTAAGAAGCCTGCCCTTCAAGCTTCAGGGTTGTTCAATTGAGGACTCTGAGGCTAAATCAAACTAACACAAGCGGGTCAAACAGAGTGGAACACTGAGTTCTTGTGGTGAGCACGAACCCAGGAAAATGAAGCAAAGGGTAAAGATTCCAAATGGAGAACAGAGGATTGGCTCAGAGACTCCCAAAGCCCAAAAGACCTCCTCAAGAGGGCGCTGACTACACAGCTTCTGCTTCCTGTATGCCTACATTTCTGCAGGGAACGTGTAATTACAGAGCGCAACCAGTCACAAAGTCGCTGAGTCCTTGGAAACTGATTCTAGAAAGAGAAGAGCACTGAGATATCTCTAACTTGACACTTTGGATCCCAAGGAACACCAGTAGGGTGGAGGTGGAGCAGAAGAAGTAAGAAGATCGATTTCTGCCCTGAAGTGGGGTTAATGGTTCTCTAAAATTTAATTAAGCCTGTGTTGAGGGTTCAGCTAGCTAAGTAAGGTGTAATAAAGGATGCTCCTGTTCCAAACACTGGATCCCGAAGCTCTCTCTCAGGACCAGTGATGGCCTATGCAGAGCATCTGGCTCCTGGATCCAGCTTCAAACTAAGACACATGGAGAGGTATCACCTACAGCCCTCAGATCTTCAAGTGAGCAGGGCCACCGGAAGGGAGTAACAGATTCCATGGCTGGGCGGAGTATCTGAGAGCTCATAGCAATATATATGTGTCTGTCTCTGTGTGGATGTCTCTCTCTGTGTATATGTGTGTCTGTCTGTCTGTCTGTCTGTCTGTCTATGTCTTTCTGTGTCTCTATGTGTGCCACTACTCAGGCTTGAACCACTCTTTTTCATTCACTTGAGCCACATCTCCTGTTCCAGACTTTGCTGGTTGATTGGAGATAACACTCATAGACTTATCTGCCTGGAATGGGTCTGCATCTCGATTCTCAGATCTCATCTTCCTGAGTAACTAGGATTATAGGTGTGAGCCACCAGCTCTGGGCTCATAGCCACTTTCTAAGTCTCTAGCCTCACCACAAAATTCCTTGCTCACCTTGCCCTGAGCTCACCTCAGAAAGGATGAGTTTGCTAGGCTGCCACGTTCAGGCATTGGTTCATAGAGGCATGGGACACATCAAGTACATAGACTGCTCTGTGTCTTGTTCTAAGTGTAATGAGAGACCATACTGAGCCTAGCAAGATACTGGAGTCAGTCCAGGGAAGATTCCTACATGGTGTTCATGGAGGTGCCCCAGGGAGAGCTGTCACAGGAAAAGAAGGGCAGTGAGCCCGCCTGCAATACAAGAACAGGAAGGCAGTCTGGACATGGATGCCAATGCAGAAACTGCAAGCCCCCTGCAGACTCAACACACAGAGCTACGGAGATTTCTATCTGTCCCATTCTGAAGATGCAGATTTGTTCCGGCACCTCTTGTTTGTCTCACTTGACAACTGTGAATTATGGGAAATCATTCAGTAGCACCCATCATTTTTAATGAGTATGCTGTTGACATCCAGCCCTGAATACACAGGCTCTCAAATCCTCATAATAATTCCAACACTGAACAGACCAGAAAGTAAGACACGGCCTTAGTAAACTGTCCAAAGTCACTAAGTTGGTGCTGAAGCCAAGGTTTCACACCAAAGTCCGTCCCGACTTCCGACAAGTCGGTGATTTTAGAAGATAGCTACCCTGAGCATGCTTGGCTGGCAGCAATTTTCTCTGAGGGTTAAAAAGAGTGGAAGAAGGATAGAATGTCCCCAGGAGAAATCCAGAGTGTCATCTAGGCCAGGAACATCGTGTGACATGTTCAGAAGCTTTGCTTTGTGTTGGCCCATGAACTTGTGTGCCACTTGTGAGCACTTGTGTGCTCATTAGTCCAGGCTTCTTTCGATATGCCTGGGTTTAATTATAAGCATTGCTGGCATTCGGAGCAGTAACCTGGATCCTGGGTCATATGACCTTGGCCAGAGAGGAGAGAATTTCCCCAGCAGTAGGAGAGGACCCCAGGACCAGACAGACAGGGCCTGGACTCAACTTCTGGATCTGCTATCCCTTTACCATGGAGCCTTGGACAAGTTTCCCACTGCCCTGAGCCTCTGTTGCCTTCTCTGACCCAGTGGGCACAGGAATTACAAGCTCCGGGGCCAGCTCTGAGGCCTTAATGAGATGCTGTACGTGAAATGCTCCTAGGCACCCAGAGGTCCCCCTCCCCCCATACCAAACAGGTGAGAGAAAGCCCAACTTCTTCAGGGCAATGACCAGAGCTCATAGAGGACTCAGAAGGAAGGTTTGGGGGGAGGGGTGATTGTATACTTGGATATTTAACAAGTATTTCTTTTTTCTCCTTTTCTTTTGTTTGGCTATAGTGGGTTTGAACTCTGGGCCTTGTGCTTGCTAGGCAAATGCTCTACTGAATGCCACAACTCCAGCCCTTTGTGCTTAAGGATCTTATACTTTTTGCCTGGGGCCCGCCTCAGACCATAATCCTCTTTCCCCATACCTTCTGCGTAGCTATGATTACAGGTGTGTACCAACACACTCAGCAATTAGTGCGCATTGTGTAAGAAGCAGTTCTAATTCAGTGACAAGCCTGCTCAGGACCCAAAGAAGAGGTGAGACACTTTCTTCAGGTTTGAAAGGAAGAATAGGCAAGAGACAGAGAGTTCAGGCAAAATACCTGAGATGAGAGTGAGAAAGAGAGAGAGAGTGTGTGTGTGTGCTCTGTACCATCAATGTACCTTCTCCTCTTTCCACACTCATGGACCTTACATTTGAATAAGGAGGCAGAAAAGAAACAACACAGGATGCTAGGAAAACAGGAAGGAGAGGTAAGGTTTTCCAAGGTGGAAGTGGTAGGTGTGGGGTACAGCCTACATGGTGTCCTTTTGGGTAAAGGCTGTAGGAAGGAAGAAAGGTAACTGCAGCTAGCCAGGTGCCGTACAGATGCTGGCTCAGGATAATGCATATGGAGTTCTTCTCTCAGCCTTGGGAAATGTCAGCTGTTATTTCCCACTGGTTATTGACAGGTCTTTGTCCTCTGAAGCAGCTAAGGAGTGTTCATCTAGAACTTGGCGCCTTCTCCACAGCCCCCTAGGGCCTTGGCCCTCTGCCCAGGGTGTCCGAGGCCTCTGGGCTGTACCTGCTCAAGTTTGTCACCATGACAACCATCCCTGATTAGAAATATATTCTCAGCACAACACCTACCACCCTTAGAGAATGGATTAGGGTTAGTTTAGTCTTTATCTGTGTTGGGAAGAGAGAGAGATAACAAAGAAATGCATACAGAGAAAATCAAAGAGATGAAGGAGCTGGAAAGAGAAGACAGAAGCACAGAGAAAGAGATATCAGAAATGGAGGGAGATGGAAAGGAAATCCAAAGCAGGGTGAAGGCCTCTCTGCCCCACCTGAGTGAACAATGTAAAGAGCCAGTGCTATGGTTTGATGAGACTTGCCTCTTTCCGGGTCTCAGATGCTAGAGGCTTGGTCCTGAGGGTTGTGGATCTGTACAAGATGGGGCCTGGTGGGAGGTCCTGAGGTCATTGAGTGGGTACCCTGGGAATGAACTAAGCTATGTGCCCTGGGATCTTGGATCTCCTGAGAATACATTGTGACAAGAGCAAGCCTTAACCCTACATCATTTTCTGCCATCCTATCTCGAGGTGTCTTCCTTCTGCATGCTTTCGCTATTGTGATGCCTTCCATCATGCAGCGCCTAGCAGAGCCAAGGCCTTGCCAGCACCATGTCCTGAACCCGCAGAACTGTGAGCTCAGTAGACCTCTCTTCTTTTGAAAGTAACCCAACCCCAGATATTTTGTTTCAACAACTAAAAAATGGAATCATAAAACACTGTTTGGAACCATTTTCTGCACCAGTTTTAAGCCCTGGGTAGGTAAACTATTATCCCGCGCTGAGCTTCAAGTTCCCCATCTAGGTACATTCTTCATGCCTCTTTTAGTCTACTAGTTGCTATGTAGTGTTTGACTGATTCCCTGAATCAGAAGGCACTTTCTCTCAGAGGTAAAGCATGGCGTTTATTCAGACAAGTCAGTCGGCCCCACATAAACTACAGAAGACATGACTTTACAATAAGTTAATGGGAATTGGATCATTTCCTTCCAGGCTAGCTCCCAGAACCTGGAAGGTATAGGTCATTATAAATAAAATAACATACTACTTGGCTATTTTCAAGTGGGATCAGACAGCCGGAGACCAGCCCATGAGATTTTTCATTTGCAGGGTGAGATTGGCCCAAACTCATTTTCTTTCCCTAACCCCAAAGGGGAGACTCCCAAATCAGCAGGGAGGCTTCTCCCCTTTAAAGTCTGCCGTAATCATAAGAAACCTCTCCAGAGATGTTCATCCCTGGATAATTACACAGGAACTTGGTGTTGAGCATGGGAAGTTTCCTGGTGATTCTTGTTGATCCAGGCTAAAAAGATGTCAAGCTCACCCAGGGATTTAATGGCGGCAGCACGGACCTCCAGCTGAAAACAATAACACCACCATAAGTTCACACCTGGAGACTGGGCCAACATTTGCTATCACTGACCCTCAACTTGAGTCCCCATGTGATTTGCTTTTTATGTATCAAATATATTTGCGTAGCAGACATTTGGCATTATTTTCCGAATAGCTGACCAGCTTTGTGTTTACAAACAAGCCAATAAATCATGCCAACTCCTTCTGTTTTACCTCTCCCTCTTATCCCAACCACCACCCCCTTGCTTGTCACAGGAAAGATTTGCCTTGCTGGCCATTTCTTTTATTTGCTTTTTTATGTCAGCTTGCTTTTAGTACTTCTGTCTTCCCAAAAGTCTTGGTACCTTTGGTGATCTCCAGTGGAAAGGGAGATTATGCTGTCCCCACCTGACCCTAAGGGTTCGTGTCCCCCACAGCATCACAGCTGAGTAGTCAAAGAATCAGAATTAGACTGTGACTCCTGACTTCTCCACCTCTTTCCACACGAAAGGGAGAAGATCTAAAGGTGCATCCATAGAGCCAGTGGGAACCAAAAATCCTACGTCCACCACTTAGAGGCAGAGAGGAATTTAATAACTCACTTAACATACTGGGACCTGTTTTTCCTAATTCACCCAGGACAGATAATATTCATAGCATTATTGTGAAAGACCAATGAGGCCACACATTCATGGGCTTGGAACACTATCAAGTTCACAGTATAAGAACCACTTGGCTCTTGCTACATTATCTAATGGAGATAAAGAGCTCTGCACAGACCCCCACACCTCCTTGCTCTTCAAAGCTAGTGGCATCATCCGTGGGTGCGGTCAGAACCACAGAAACCCCGGATTCCTCGAGCCAGTTCTCACGATGATGCGAGCTTATGAGAAGCACGGCTTTTATATTGACCCCTGCACGGGAAGCACTGTGCCTTCATCAGGATGCAGAATACCTACGATGCGTGCTGCCACAAGATACTCCACACACAGCGTGTTTACTCCATGCATAACAGCGTGTAATTCGCTACGGATCTCGTTTCCTTTATATCACCCCCATCTTACCTACCATGTACTTCTCCCCAAGTTATAACCCAGTCAGGCCTGGTAAGCAGAGGTATAAAGAAACTAGGAGAGGGATAACAGAGAATCAGCCAGTGAGGTAAGACCAACACACGTGTGCGCACGTGCGCGCGCACACACACACACACACACACGCATGCACACACGCACGCACGCGCGCACACACACACACACTGCAGATAAAGACACAGGATAAACCTGCCACAAAGACTCACTGAGTATAAAATAAATTACTCAGAGTAGGGAGGAGGCAGAAAGGCTATTATTCTCCATCAAGACAGCTACCCTTCCTTTGTCATCATCTCCATCTTCTTCCCCGACCTCACCTGATCGTAGTTGTCCTGGATGATGCTAGTGGCATTGGTGGCTTCCTGACTACAGTGGCACCATCTCTGCTCCTGCCGTGACACATTGGAGGCAGCTCCTGTCAGCAGACCTTAGCACAGGCCCGCTGGCATGCCACCTCCCACTTGAGAAGGGACATCTCTCCTCCCACCCAGGTGAGGGGCAGGTGAGCAAATTCAGGTGGAGCAGACAGGGGAGACTAGTGCCTGTCTATGAACGTGGTCGCCATCTGACCACAGCTTTGGCTTTTTTATGAGTTCACAGCACCAAGAGAGTACACATGACATCTTCTTGTCACCACTCTGTGATCGCAGCACCCCAATCAGTGAGGCACTCAATATTTGTCGGGTGGAGGAAATGGTTAAACGTGCCCATTGGAGTCCATGATTGTAGTACTGTAGGCAGGGTGGGGTTTATCACTTTTCTAACAATGTTAGAATCTGGGGCACAGAGAGGTGATGTTATTTGCTACAGGAAGTGAACATTTTACACAGGAAGTGAACAGCAGGAAAGGGATGGAAACCCAGATTTACCTGGATCTAAGTTTTTTGTTGTTTCATTATGATTTTGATTCTGATGTTTGATTTTAAGAGGTGACCCTTAGGGATAAGGGTCAAGAAACAACCCGGAGGATTCCTTACGAAAAAACTCCAAAAGACTACGGTAAGACCAGAATCCTTCACATGCCCCTCACAGGGATGCTTAAGGTAAGCTGGTTCTCCCAGGAGGATTGTCCAAGAGGAGACCCATCTGACAAGATGTCAGTTGACCAGAAGTCTTAGGACAGGAGTGACTACCATGTGAAGGTTCCTGATGGTTCTTCCATAGATGACAGGGCAGCGAATTTCCTTTGACCCCACTCCACCCCCACCCCCACCAACCCTACCAGAAAGCATGCTGGGGGCCACGCTGGCCCAGGCTCTCCTTAGTCAGTCTGAGAGCACATGTCTGAAACCCTGATTCACAGACTTACACATTGCTGCAGAGTTTTCTGCGTGTGGAGGAAAGAGTTGGCAATGCTGCTGATCTGTCTCCGGATCTGGGGGTTTGGCTCCTGATGATCCTTGAGCACTTTGTCCATGTAGAATGCCAGGAGGTTCCTGGTCACGCAGCACACATCTATGGGCTACAGATACAAATTAGAGAACATCCCACCCCCCAGAGCCTTCTTTTATGATCTTAGAGACCAAAGCAGGCTGTACAAGTGGGGACAGCAAGAAGCAAGAGAACTAGACGTTATTTTCTAAAATTCCTAACAGCCTCAAAGTGTTCATTCATTCTCCCCACAGCCAAGCTACTGAGGGGGAAGACTGGGAGTTATAGCAACCAAAAGATGGGATCCAAATCTTCCATCAGAGATTAGAATCCCAAACATGTCACTCCTATATTCTGTTTAAACTTGTTCTGAAGAGTGCTGGTGGCTGAGAATATTATTATTATTATTATTATTTTCCCTTCCTGGGGCTTGAACTCAGGGTCTAGGCACTGTCCCTGAGCTTCTTTTTGCTCAAGGTTAGCCCTCTACCACTTAAGTCACAGCACAACTTCTGGCTTTTTCTCGATAGTTTATTGGAGATAAGAGTCTCATGGGCTTTTTGGCCTGGCCTGGCTTCAAACCACAATCCTCAGGTCTCAGCCTCCTGAGTAGCTAGTATTATAGGCCTGAGCCACCCGCACCTGGCTGAGCAGGTTTCTTGAATAGGACTTCCTTCCATTACAGAGGCTGAAGCTGATTACTCAATAATGTCTCCCATCCATCAAGACCCATGGCTACAGCATGCCAGGTATATTGGGCATGATGCTACTTTTATCCTGGCTACTCTGCTGTTCACCACAGTGCTGGGCTCTCTTCCAGACTGTCCTTGTAAACTGCAGGGCTCATTTGAATGCTACTGAGATTTGTAAGACTGGGAACTGACTGCATGCATGTGACTGAGAGGTTTCCTAAGCTCTCCCAGGGAAACTGGCTAAACGGTGTCCTTCTAACAATCTGTACTCTGTCCATCCCATCAATTACTGGTAGAAGATTTTAGTCCAAGTAGGGAGTGGCTTACAACATATCCATCTTCATTAGCCTGAAAGGAAGCAGCCTCCCTGGCCTCCAGGGTAGCTTTTCCTAGATGGCAGCAAAGTTGACTTAACACACAGAAATCCTTTCCCCCTCTAACATATTTATAAGATGATTTCTTTGTTGCTTTGTATGTCCCTCCCCCACAGTATAACCCCTGCTTTCACTGTATTTGATGTTGGTATAATTGGTGGATGGGAAGGGAAAAAACAAATCGTTTAACTAGGGATACAGGTAGACCCATTGCAACAATGAGATGTACAAGTCTTTATGTTGAAAACGAACTTTACAACTTTGGTGAGGGGGGGAAGGGGGAGGTGGATTCAGTGTGGGGGGAGGCGGGAGGGGGGAGGATGGAAAGGGATGGGAAGGGGAAACAAAGGAGGAGGCTACAATGCTTGATAAGAAATGTACTCATTATCTTGCCCATGTAATTGTAACCCCTTGTACAGTATTTTCACAATAAAAATAAAATAAAATTAAAAAAAAAGAAATCCTTTCCCCCATTCTCACTGGGCCCTTAACTAGAGGGGCAAAGGGGCTGGGAAGTTGGCTCAGTGATAGAGTGCTTGCCTTGCATGCATTAGGCCCTGGGTTCGATTCCTCAGCACCACATAAGCAGGAAAAAAATCCAGAAGTGGCGCTGTGGCTCAAGTGGTAGAGTGCTAGCCTTGAGCTGAAGAGCTGAGGGACAGCGCTCAGGCCCAGAGTTCAGGCCCCACGACCGGACCCCCCCAAAAAACAAAAAAAAAACTAGAGGGACAAAAGATTACCCTGTGCTACTAAAGATACAGCATTAGAAAAAGGAATGCAGCACTCCAAAAAAATGAGGGAAGGAGGAAAAGGGGAAAGAAAGAAAAAGAGAGGGAGGAAAGGAAGGAAGGAAGGAAGGAAGGAAGGAAGGAAGGAAGGAAGGAAGGAAGGAAGGAAGGAAGGAAGGAAGGGAAGGGAAGGGAAGAGAAGATGAGAGAGAGAAGCAGAAGGAGGATGAGAAGATCAAGCTTTTTTTGCACTTTGGTCTCCACAGGGAAGATTTCACACACTTCACAAACATTTTGTAGCCATATATCCCATTCTCCCATGCACCTCAGATCTCTTCTCTCTTCTGTCCCTGACTCTACAGCCTCTCAGCATTTCAGTGGCTCTTCTTTTATTTCATTTCCCTTCACAGAAACTTCCAAATGACTCCAAACCACAAAAATCCTGCCCTCTGAGCACCTGCCTGCCTCCCACCCCCTCCATTACAATCTAAGGAAGCGGCATTTCTTTAGGACCCCAGGACAGAAGTGTGTCCAGACTTCTTGGTTAAAGAAGTCCTGAGCATTGACAACACATTGGGTGGAGATTTCTTTCTTATTCCAGGGCCATGTTACTTAAAAGATTAAAACACACTTTAAAAGAAAAAGGCACAACAGTCACAGACAAGCCATACCTTAATGCCCTGCAGACTTTGCAGTGTGGACAAGATGGTGACATTTTGGAAGACATCCTTGTTTTGCTAGGGAAGGAAACGGAAGGATAGACATAGGCGATGACATCTCACTTTCCCCTGAGATACCGGGGGTAATAGGAAAGAGCTTGTCTTCCCAGCCATGACTGGAGGTGACCCACACACCCCTTTGCCCACACCCTCACCCAACCCATCCTCACCAAAGTCCTTTTGATTTCCTGGAAACTCCTTTCTAGATGGCGCATGTCCACAGAAATGAGACATCTCCTGAAACCAAGACTCTGCCCTAAGGACAGGATCAGCAGTGTGCCCAGGATCCAGAGGAAAGCACTTTGTACCTTCATGTTCTATCCAGCCTTGAGAGAAACGGAAAGAGAATCACTCCAGTGTGTTCCTTCGGGGGACCTGCACCATGCAGAGTAGGAGGCAACCAAGACCTGAATCACAGCGCTGAGATGTTTCAGGGGCTTGTGTCACCTCTTCTGGTTGTCTCGACTCTGTTACCAATGAGCTCTCCCCCCGGCCCCAGCCCCGGGAAGCACAGGAGGGCTTCTGAAGTCCTCCGGAGTACATTTGTGTGTCCGTCACTATGCTGACTCAACCCGACTTACTTCGTCAACAGGAGAGAAAAGTATTGTTTTTAATCAATTGAATAAAGAAAAACAAGGTTGGTCATAAGCCATGGAAATTAGGCAACAGATCTGAAAAAAGAAAATCGAAGCACATTTGGGCTTTTGGTTGTTGTTTGACCCTCAAGTAAGCAACACCCTTTTATGATAAAACCTCAGAGCGTATCTGCTTCAAAACATTTGTTTGGAGCTAACTAGGCAGATTTGTGCCTTCTGGAGAAGGCGGGGAAAGAAGGCACAGATATCTCTTAAAAACTACTTAGTCACAGTGAGGAGCTAGGGGAGGAATGCCTTCTCCCTGTAAGAGGCCAAGCTGATGGATTTACATCTGTCGTCAACAGAACCAGAGAAGCAGAGAGACAGAGACAGAGACAGAGACAGAAACAGAGGCAGAGACAGAGAGACAGAGACAGAGAGAGATGTTTGCAACCAGCTAGTTCTCCAGCAGAACAAGACTTCATGATACTTGCTGCCTCTTCTCACGTACCCTTCTTGCTTGTTTCTCTTGACCTCTTTGTTTAAAAATGTGTCCCATGAGCCTGGTGCTGGTGGCTCATGCCCATAATCCTCACTACTCAGGAAGCTGAGATCTGAGGGTTGAGGTTTGAAGCCAGCCTGGACACAAAAGTCTGTGAGACTCTTGTCTCCAATGAACCACAAAAAGAAAAAAAATAACAACAAACCACAGGTATTTATGGATGTAGTTCACGTGGTAGAGCATAAGCTTTGAGCAATAAACTGAGGGACAGCAGCCAGATCTTGAGTTCAAGCCCCAGTACTGGCACACTTATACACACACACACACACACACACACACACACACACACGATGCTCATGGGGAGACAGGTACCTCATTGTACAGCTTATTATCTTTCTCTGACCCCTCCCCGTAGCACAGTCTTTACAGACAAAGCTTAGCCTTAAAGGTGAGTCTTAGAACAACACATATGGCTGGACTGCCAGTGTCCCCCATGGACCAATACAGTTGTGCCGACTGGGCTCAGCGTGCCCACCCTGTGTCGCAGTAGAAAAGAGTCAGGCTCTGAACCTAGAAAGCCAGCTAGGGATCTACAGAGCCTCCACCCTGACCTTTCACTGTGATTGTAGTGGCTATAACTATTTTTTAAAAAAGGGGAGGAGCCTAGGGCATGAATCACACTGTTCTAGGACTCCCCAGCTCCCTCTCTAGGAAGCCCAGAATCAGCAACTCCTGCCTCTCCCTAGCTCCTGCCCTTCTGAGAGGCCAGGCAGGTGTACTCAGAGCCCTTGCCCTCATCAGGGAAGGGACAGGCAGTAGGCTAAATACTTCTATTTCCCTGTTTTCATTTCTTCCTAAGAAAAGATGGGAGATCAGCCCCACATTCAGCAAAGTCTGTGGCAACTTCCCTGAGCTCTGCCTCATTCTAGACATCTTGGCCAATTCAGATAGTAAGAGAAGGTAACGCACCTCCTACACACCGCATGTGTTGGAAAATTTCACACAATTACCATGTGCGTGCTCACCACCAGCCTGTGAGGGAACTGAGACATTCTACATTCCCATTCAGCAGACCCCCAATGACAGAGCTAACAGCTGAAGGGAAAGCCACCAGCCCCTCCCACCGGAGGGCTGTCCTCTCCCACCTCAACTGGAGATCCCAGCCCTTAGTTTTTCCACCAGAAGAGAACCACTTCTGAATGGACCTACTGGCACTGGGGTGCACTCTACACTTTAAAAGATATTTACCAGTGCAAAGAATGTTAAGAGTATTTTAAAATAAACTATACATGGACTGGGAAGGTGGCTCAGTGGTAGAGCACTTGTCTTGCATGCCTGAGGCCCTGGGTTCGATTCTTCAGCACCACATAAGCAAAAAGAAAAAAAGCCAGAACTGACGCTGTGGCTCAAGTGGTAGAGCGCTATCCTTGAGCTGAAGAACTGAGGGACAGCATCCAAGCCCAGAGTTCAGGCCCCACAGCTGGACCCAAAAATAAAATAAAATATACAGTTTGTGGGTGGGGCTGGGAGGGAAACACTAGGAGACATTGTCCAAGAAGAAATGTACACTTTACCTGACTTATGTAACTGTAACCCCTCTATACATCACCTTTGTAATAACAATACATTTTTAATAAATAAAATAAAACATATAAGGTATAACTTTTCCAGAAAGTTCATAGAATGAAATGGCAATAGTTAAGACATTACTTCCTTGCCTTTGTTTAATTTCCTTCCTTCTTCCTCCTTTCCTCTTTTCTTCCTTCTGTCCATCCTTCCTTTACTCTTTCCTTTCTTTCCTTTCCTTCTTCCCTTTCTTTTCCTTCCGTCCTCTGTCTTTCCTTCCTTCCTTTCTGTCTTTCCTTCCTTCCTTCTTTCCTTCCTTTTATTTCTTCCTTCCTTTCCTCTTTTCTTTTTTCCTTCCTTCTTTCCTTTCTTCCCTTCCTTGCTTCTTTCCTCCATTCATTTTTTTCTTTCTTCTTTCCATCCTTTATCTCTTTTCACTGAGTGAAGGAACCAGAAAATTCACCACCCCTTCCCATTCTACGGAAGCCCTAATCCCCAGGGCAGCGCAGGCATGCGCAGTGGTGACAGGCCACCCCATAGTATGAGGGCTGAGGGCCTGAATCATGAGAAGCAAAGCCAGGGATGGAGCTTGCCCCACCCTCCCGTCTCACCGTGCCGACCAGCCGCTCAGGTGTCTTCTTCCCAGGTGCTCTCTGCCACTTGGGGAGGGCTGGTCACTTTTATCAAGTGGGTAAGAGGAAACGCTGTCAGGATTCGCTGGGTGGATCCATGCTCAGGAGATTGTTTTTTTCCCCTCTTTCATTTCCTTAAGTGTTTTTCTTTTCTTCTTCTTCTTTGTGATATAGCTGATTAATCATTAGGAAGAAATACCTCTTTTGTTTTTTGGATTTTTTAGGTCTTGACATGCAGTTTCTGGGAAAGAAATAAACTCCCCAACACCATGCAAATGAGCATCACTTGCAATTCTGTGTCCATAATAAAAAAAAAATACAACTTAGGTCACTTTCCTAGGAGCTGTGGCATGTCACCAACCGAACCTGCTGTTTACCCTGCAGGCTGAATCAGGAAAGTACTTCGTGATGTATTTGGACTAACCTTGCCAAGCACCCAGCCTCATGAGTCTCCACAGGTGCTTCTGGCTCCAGCACAAACCAACTCCCTGATGTTTCATGCACCCAGGGAGGCCCCAACCTATGCATGTGCCAGATGCAAGCTACGTGCTTCACCTCTATCCACTCATCTAACTTCACAGGGGTCAGGTTGTTTTAGGGGTGAATGGAAGTACTGGAGCTTTCACTCAGAGCCTGGACACTGTTTCTTAGCTTTGTGCTCAAGGTTAGCACTCTACCCTTGAGTTGTACTACCACGTCTGGCTCTTTGCTGTCCTTGGAGAGAAGAGTCTCATGAACTTTTCTTCTCCTGACTGGCTTTAAACCTCCATTCTCAAATCTCCACCTTCTGATTAGCTAGGATTATAAACATGAGCCACTGGCACCCAGCACAAGAAACAATTTTATTTTTCACCCTCTTGAATGCAAAGGTCTCTTTGTTCATTTCCTTGTCCTTTGGAAGGTCCTTTATTCTCAATCAATGCAGAGAAAGAAAATGAGACTGAGGCAGAACCAGGAACAGACCTGGAATCCAGAAGACCCTTTATCTAAATCACTTTTTTGTACAAAGTCTTCACCATGAAAAGCCAGAGGCTGAGAGATGGAAAGGTAGGTATGAACAGCTTCCTCCCCAAACATGAATTCCTAGAATAAAGGGAGCTTATGCTTACCAAATGAAGCAACCCTGAGATAGAATACAATTAAAGACACCCTCCCTGACCCAGGCTAGGACAGACACTGCTCCTGCAGCCAGATTTAGGACATGGCAGAGCAGGAAGAAGAACAGGGAGGATCGAGGTCTTTTTAGGGGACTAGATACAAGAGAAAGGAACCCCAGGTACTGGAAGACTTCTTATCCAGGATCTTGGACTTACTGGAATTAAATCTCTTGAGGGAAGATGTAGGCTATGGTAATTGACTCTGTATCCCTGAATTTAAATTTGGGGTTTCCCTCTTCTGTAGGCAGCTCTGGCAAAGCCACTCAAGATCTCTCTACAGGTCCATGAAATAGGACCTGAGAGTTTTAATGAGTTAAGGGGCCCGTATCATAATAAATACTCCTACATTGTGCAGCTGGAAAAAGAGAAGATACCTTCACTGGGAACAAATGGGCATCTCTCTGTCCCTTCTGGAGAGAAGCAAAGATCAGCATTCCAGCCATGGCCCCTGGCCCCACCTGTTTCCCAGGGTGGTGTCAGGTGGGGAGCTGGGTGCCATTTTCCTGAGCTGCCTGGGTTAGAGCCCAGCCTCCCACAAGAGAAGATTGCAACATGGCTACTCCTAGTGTCTCCTCTCTGCTCAGACTGTATGTCCTTGCCCAGCCTTCAGTTCAGAAGCAAGATGTCATATCAGGAAGTTTGCCAGGGAAGAGAAAGCATAAAGCATGTCCTGTAGCTGGATAGCTTCTCCTCCCAGCACGTAGAGCTTCAGTGGTGGCTGGGGCTGGAAGGTGGGCAGACAGGCTCCACACCCTGTGTCTGCCCCACAGGAGGCTGGCAACTCAACCTCTGTGTCGTCTGTTCATCTGTAAAATGATGCAAATTGTGCCTACTGAATACTCTCCATGTAGACATGGTGTGAAGATTAAAAAAATTAAAGGT